CTTTCCCCTCTACGCATCTTACTGATACCAGGAACTTCCGACTGATCCCGACAACCACCCGATAATCACCCGACAGCAAAACAAAATGAACGCTACCTGAGAGACCCGTGGATGGCATTGGTTCTTGCGCCCCTGTGGCGTCCAACACCAGCGACGCGAAGTTGATTGAAAATTACAGAAGGCCTCGCCTTCGGCGCGTCTCGTCTCTTGCGAACCGACAGGGGGGCTTGCGGAAGTTGGAGGAAGAAACGTGGCGGCGGGCCCGCCGGCTTCCGCCGGCGGGATGGACCTCCGAAGCCACCCGAAGGCCTCCACAGCGGGACGGCCAGCTACGAAGACCACCCCGAAAGCCGATGGCCTCCACAGCTGGACGGCCAGCTACGAAGACCACCCCGAAAGCCACCCGAGGGTTACGTCAGGGCCCTCCCCAAAGAGGGCCCCCCTGAAGGCCCGCCCGGAATCCGTCGGAGAAGCCAGTTGGCGCCACGTTTTTTCTTCACGTGGACCCCCCGGACGTTTCTGTGACTCTCGCTCTCACCCACTTTCGAGCAGTGCCGAGGGGGGTCACCAGAACGGGGTTCAACCGCCTCCTCTTGGAAATCGAGGATCAAAGGAGTAAGGAGGACGAGGATCGAGGAAGTTTTGGACGTTCATGGGCCGTGCTTGGAAGTCAGGGGTCCAGGCAGGCTCATGGAGAAGGCGGCGACCCTCTTAGTGGTGCCACTTCTTCAGCACGGGTCGTTTTTGTTGACGGTCCCGTGGCTTCGAACGGGCTTCCAGAGGCCAGAAAACACAATTAGAGGACTTGACCTTCGTGGCGCGTGGAGGTCCGGGTCCCTGGGCTAGCTCTCGCTACACATCGGTCCCCGGGCCCCTCCCGACCGGCATCCAGGGCAGTCTTTCGAGCCGCTTCAGGCCGGGGCCACCAGGAGGCCCACAAGCCGAAGAAACGCTTGGAGGCTTGGACCCTCACAGGACGACAACGCCTGCGCCCTGACGGTTTCCAGCCAGAGCGATGCGATTCCCACGACGCTGGGCCGCCGCTTGCCGGCCGCCCCGTACCTGGCCGAAGCCGGGGTCCAGACGAGCCCGCTGGCCGAGGATGGCTCGCCTCGCCCCTGGACGACGGCGGCGGCGACGATGGCGGCGGGGACGGCGGCGACGACGGCACACGGCGGCGTCGCGGACCATGGCGGTGACGACGAGGATGGACGAGGGTCGGCGGTTCAAAGATGGGGCCCTGAGGCAGGAGGCCCTCAGGATAGGAAGGGGTCCAAGGTCGGCTCGACATTCTTGGAGGCACCTCGTCCTTACCCCTTCTCTCAGGCCCCCTTCTCGTGAAGCGCCGAGAAGAGGCGGGGGGCGAGGAGCGAGGGCACCGCGGGCGGAGGACCTCGGCCTGCCGAGCCTGGCGGAGGCGATCGCGGACGCGCTGCAGCGCCACGGCGGCCGCGCCGGCGCCCCCCAGCGGTCGGCGGCGGGGAGGGCCGCGCACCGCCACGCCCGACGGGGCAGCAAGGAGGAGCGGGCCAGAGGAGAGGGGGAGGGGGGGGCGACTGTCAGGGGCAGCGTCAGGGGGGATATAAGCTCAGGGGGAGATGCATCGACCCCCTGTCGCCAGTTCATCGCCGGCAGGGGCCTGCTGGCCCACCCCGCCCAGGAACGTGCGGTTTCGCTGTCGGCCGATCGCCGATGGATCTGCGATGTGTCGCTGCTTCCGGGTCGATGTTTCCCCCCCCGAGCCGGTCCCCCCCTGATTTTCCCCTTCAGATTGAGAAGGGGGGGTAACCAGTACGAAGTTATACTTGACAGTGCTTGCACTTAGGGGTTCTTACTTCTCTCCCTAAGGAATTGGTTGGGTCCGGCGAGACTGTTCTACGTTGCCGCCACGTTGTCGCCTCGTGCGGTGGGATGGTCCGGCGAGGTTTCGCCAAGCTGCCGCCCGTTACCGCTTCGTTGCCGCCTCTAGCTTGCATCACGTGCGCTGCACTTCATCATGGCTGCAACATCCACAGTGCAATGATTTACTCTTTGGGGTCCACGCTGGCTAACATCTGCTGCTCGCAGATGGCTTCGGCTCCGCCGCCTGGGCCCTTGCCGCCCCTGGCGCCGGGGGGCGCCGGGGGAAATAGCTGAGCGAGCTGATCTGCCATCTCCTCTTTACTATCCCATCTCTTTCGTCCGACCCGATTTTTTCAGCGACAAACATCCAAGACAGCAGTGGCGCTCATGAGCTCTGAAATCATGCGTCGTCGACGACGCCGCGTTAAGACCGGCTGGCGAGCAGTGATATGAATCATTACTCGACGCGGAGATCCCCATGTGCACCTCATTTCCTGGCAAGTCCCGCTGTGAGCGTCTGGCCTTCAGCGTTTGGGTGTGAGAGCAAGTCCGAGATGACGACGAGCACGACGACGAGCACGACGACGACGGTAGCGGCTACGATGAGGGACAGCAGCGACGACATCTCACAGACAGACAGGCTGTGAGCAGGCCCTCTCCCCTCTCATTCCTCTTACTACGCGTCGTACCCCCTCCCTTCTCGTCCTCCCTCCTTGCTTCTCCCTCGTCCTGCGTCCTCCTACTTCCTCGTCCATCACCCTCCGTCCTGGGCGTCTGAGTGGACAGGAGTCGGACGTGCAAGACCGAGCACCTCGCCCGATACATCCCCACGATGCGGCCGCATGGGGTGCTGAAACCAGCGCCTCAGTCGAAACATCCTCGCAATCTGTTGTGAAAGCATTGAATTCCAAGCCACCAGAAACCGCCTGAGACATCCCCACAATGTGAGCGCGAACGGGCCCGTAAATTACCCCCAGGCGGCCCCCCCTTAGGGTGCTGAAGCCAGCGCCTCGCTTGAGACATCCTCCTAATCTGCTCTGGTAGCACCGAATTTCAAGCCACTGAACAGGCAATCCGCTTGAGACATCCCCAGTCTGAGCGCGAACGGGCCCCCGGAACACCCCCAGCTTGAGACATCCCCACGATCTGTTTTGAAAGCACAGAATTCCAAGTCACCAAACAGGCAGACTGCCTGAGACATTCCCACGATCTGGGCGCGAACGGGCCCGTGAAATACCCTTTGGCGGCTTCCTCTTGCGGTGCTGAAGCCAACGCCTCCCTCGAGACATCGCGAGTTTGAGTTTGGGTGAATCTGAGCGTGTACGAGTCTGAGTGTTAGCAGTGAGTCTGAGCGTGAGCGCATCTGGGTATGAGCGTATCGGTGTATGAGCGTGTCTGAGTATGAGTGCATATGAGAAGGAGTGAGTCTGAGTGTTCAGTCTAAGTATGAATGAGTCTGAGTCTGAATCTGAGTGTTAGAGAGTCTGAGTGTGAGTGAGTCTGAGTGTGAGTGAGGAGAGGGTGGAGGGAATAGGGGAGGCGGAGGCGTCACACTGATTATCGAATGGCATTCGGCCCATCCCGCCACCGTGCCTGGGTTGTGGGAATGAAGCCTGGTGGATGTTCGTTGGGATCTCGTGGGAGGCCTCTCGGGGGCCACTTGGAGACAGTTTGGACGCCTCTTGGTGGCCGTGTCGGAGCCTCTTGGGGTCTCGTTTGCGCATCTTGGGGGCCTCGTGAGACCTCCTGGGCGCCTCTTGAGGCATCCTGGGGGCCACTTGGAACGGAAGGCTCGGATTCCTCTTGGGCCCCTTTTACGGCCGTCTTGGGGCCCTCTTAGGCCGTTTGGGTCACCTCTTGGGCCGTCTTGGGGCCCTCTTGAATAGTTTTTGGACCCTCTTGGAGGCCTCTTGAGCCGTCTTGGGGCGGTCCTGGGTGGCTCTAGGACCGTCTGGGAGCGTCGGGAAGCCGAAAAGGCGAGAACGCCAAAATCTGTCAAAAACCTAAGGAAAATCAAGGATTGTGGGTTCTTGGGGCCCTCTTAGGAGGCCTCTTGGAGGCCTCTTTGGGCGTCTTGTAGGCCGTCTAGGGGCCACCTTGAGCGTATTGGAGCAGTCGCTCGGCGACTCGGGGCCCTTTTGGACCGTCTTGAGGGGCCTCTTGGGGCCCTCTTGGCCCGTCTCGGGGCCCTCCTGGGCCCATTCGTGCGACGACATTTCCCGGAGCCCAGGGGGCACGCGACAAGCAAGCCCCAGGGGGCAAGCGGGGAGCCACGGGAGATTGGAGAGCGAAGGGTCCGAGCCTTTGAAAGACTCTTCACGCGTGAGGATTGAGGCTTAGAGGATCAGAGGCACGGCTGTTGATTCGATGCGAAGATCCCCAGATGTGCATCTGATTGATTTGGTTTCCGTGGGCTCGTTTCGGGTCCCAGGACCATCAGAACACGACCCAGGAGGAAGAATTGGTTCCAGGAGAGTTTGAAGGTTCCAGAGAGCACATGCCGCAACAAAAATTGCGACGTCGGATGGGAGGGTCCTCCTCGTAGACCCGTAGATGCGAGCAGTGGTGCTTCGACGAAGCGCAGTCCTCCCTCCCCCCCCAGCTGCTCTTGCCGCGGGGGAGGGCGGAAACAAGATAGCAGACATGAAAGTAGTGCGCTAGACGAGGGACAGGAGAAGAACGACCGAACGGCAACTACAGGGAGGATTGCGACTAAAACTCACAGAAGGAGGAGAAGAGGCGCGCGCAACGATTTCATGGGCAGGCGCCGTGTTCAAGATAGCGGCATAGTTCTTGAACATAGGCCTGGGAACGCAGCAGGTATATCTCGTCATCTTCGCTTGCACAGAACTTGATATGTTCAAAAGGCGCGTAAAGGACATGAGTCGCCAACGATCGCTGAAAAGCGAGAGAGGTTGGAAGGTCCGACCTGGGCTGCGCCAGCCCAAGTTTCTGGGAAGGGCAGAAAGCAGAGGCAACAGGGGGAAAGCCAGAGTCAAGCACACTGACTGCAGCACTGGGAGCGGAGCTATCGAAGAGACAGCTCGAACTCAGAGGCCTAACCGACCACTGACGACGGTGATGCACTCCGCCCGGGACAGACAGTGCTGCCTAAGCGGCTGAGCACTGACAGGAGCGGACGGGCAGGAGCAGAGCGGGGCGACCCATCAAGAGCGCGGGGGGACACTGACGCAACGCGCCCTGCGGGAAAAAAAAGAGCTACAGTCCCAAAGTGGCTCCTGTCTTTAGATCGTGCCGTAACTCACGAACTGTACCATGGGCATCGAAAACAAGTCCGAGGCCCAAACGACAGCATGTTGATACCCTGCACCTTGGAGCAGCTCAGCGTCATGGTGTAAGACTGGCAGGGGTAGTCGTTGAAGCAGCCCGCGACTGCGGGGCAGGTGGGGTCGAAGGAGTCCGGCACCTCGTAGCACTCCGACGAAGCAGCCCGCGACTGCGGCAGGCAGAGAGGGCGGCCCAGCCCAGGCGCCCCCAGCGGCTTCGCGGCCATGCTCCCGGTCGGGCGCCAAGCCAGCGGGCTCGGCGCGCATGGGCCCGTGCCAGAACCGAGAGCCCGAAAGGGGGGGGTCGCGGAAACGGCAGCGGCTCGGGCCTAGGAGGAGAGGAGGCAGGGGGGCGGGGGGGGGGGCTGTGAGGCTCCGGCGCAGACCTTTGCGCTGCCGTTCCCCAGGTCGGCGTGCTGCCCCTGGCACGGCGCGACGGAGGAGCGGGCGGGGCGGAAGGCTCCTCGTCGCCCTCCTCCCGTGCAGGAGGGAGGGGGGCAGAGGGAGGGTGAGGAGGAGGAGGAGGAGGAGGAGGAGGAGGAGGAGGAGGAGGACAGAGGAGGACAGAGGAGGACAGATGAGGAGGAGGAGGCGGAGGAGGAGGAGGAGGAGGAATAGGAGGAGGAGGAGGAGGAGGAGGAGGAGGAGGAGGGGAAGAAGGAGAAGAGAGGAGGCGGGAGGAGGAGAAGAGGGAACAGAGGAGGATACATCTGATCCTGGATGCCGCCGAGCTCTGCGAGTATGAAGCGATATATGGCGATCTTTGCGCATTCATCCATGAGGTTGGCCATCGTCTTGCCAGCCTGGTACGACGACGCGCGAATATTTGTAGTCGTGTCCATTTTGATGCGGACGTCGCGACGATACAGATGCCGAGCCTCTTACTCCGTCTCGTTTGGCGGGGGCTGATCGTCTAAATTCATGATCGTCATGTCTGGCGATGCTGGGATTGTCGAGCCGATGACCCTTGCCCTTGTCGGTGGTGTTGCCTTTTGCTGGGCCCCCCTTCCGGGGACTGGTGTCCACGGGATCGACTGAGGGGACGAGGGACAGGGCGCGGTCACGTCTTTTCCGTCCCCGTCCCTTCTTTCCCACATCTTCCACAGGTCCAAAACCATATAGGAACTTGAAACGAGCAATGAGTACATGTCCAAGGCCATCGACTTATTCTGTGCACTATGTTGTCGAAGAAAGTCTCTGGCCTTGCCAAACCTGATGAGACACCTGGCTGGTGCCCTTTTCTCCCGCGCCTGGCGGCGCTAGGCTGGTTTCTTTCGTGATGAGAAAAGCTACCGATGGCAAAAGCAAAAGAGAGAACAACAATCGAATGTGCGGCCTCACAAGAGGGCGCGCGTCTGATTGGTTGTGGCAGTCAAGTGCGTCACAGCAGGGTTCTGCTATGTCCCGTTCCTCCTCATCCTCCTCCTCATTATCATCATCATCATCATCATCATCATCATCATCATCATCATCATCACCATCACCATCACCATCACCATCAGCAGCAGCATCATAAGCAGCCGCATCAACATCAGCACCATCACCATCATCATCATCATCATCAGCATCATCATCATCATCGTCATCATCATCATCATCATCATAATCATCATCATTAGCATCATCATCATCATCATCATCGTCATCATCATCATCATCATCATCATCATCATCATCATCATCATCATCATCATCACCATCATCATCATCATCAGCATCAGCATCAGCATCATCAGCATCATCCCGCTCCGCCCCTTCCACCCGCTCCCCTCTTTCCAGCCCCCCCATCCCCAGACACCCTTGGAAACCTCCGAAACCATTGGAAGCTTCCGAGCGCCTTAGGTAGCGTTTTGAGGTGTTCGGGAGTCGTTCTCCAGTAGGATTTCACCAGCTACCAGGGGTTACCAGGGGATTCACGGCGACGTTACCGACGGGGCTTGGAGGAGAACGGGGGGGTGGAAGAGGAGAAGGAGGAGGAGGAGGAAAAAAACAGCTAACTAGGAGAAGGAGGAGGGTCGGGGGGAGGAGAAGGGGAGGAGGAGGAGGAGGAGGAGGAGGAGGAGGAGGAGGAGGAGGAGGAGGAGGAGGAGGAGGAGGAAGAGGAGGAGGAGGAGGAGGAGGAGGAGGCGGAGGAGGAGGAGAAGGAGGAGGAGGACAAGAATGGAGACATTGATTATCATCTTCCTTATTGTCCTCCACCTCTTCCACCTCCTACTCAGGCCGCGGCGCGCCGTCCGAGAGCTCTGTGAATTGGAACTGGCGTTACCCCCAGTGCTGCGCACCGGCCCCTTTGGAACAGCCGCTGCAAAGCATGGCCAGAGCGCCGAGTAACCAAGCAGTGGCCGCCCCCGGGGGGAGGAATAGCGCCAGCCGGGGCCAACAGTCCGCCATGCACGGGACCGCGTACTTAGCCGACCGACGACGAGAGGTTGGCGGCCTCGAGCGCCGGTCGCCCGCGCTCGGCGCCGCCCGCAGCGCAGCGCCGCCGCGCCGCCAGCTCCGCCCCCTGATGCGCTCGCTGCCCAGCCGTGCAGCGCGTCAGCGCGGGGCGCGCGTTCCGCCGCCGCCTCGGCGGCGGGCCTTCTCCTACTCCTCCCCCTCCTCTCCCTAGTCTCCGACGTCGACAACGACGGCGATAACGACGACAGCGGCCCCAGAAGGAGGCCGCCCTCGCGGTCGAGATGCTGCGGCGGACGGCGTGCGACAAATACTGGGCGGCCAGCGGCGGCATAGGGCGCGCCTTTGTCGTCGCCGCCGTCGCCGCCATCGTCGCCGTCGCTGTTGTCGCCGCCGCCGCCGCCGTCGTCGAAGTCGTCGTCGTCGTCGTCGTCGTGGTCTCAGACCAAGGATCGACCATCGAGGTCTGAGGGGGGTTCTCTGCTTTTCTGGGCCTCCAAGGTGCGCCCTCGCCACCACGGCTGGATCGGCCTCGACTGTATGGTCAGAGCGTACCTCGGAAGGGGCCGATCGTCGTGTCAGCGTCGTGTTGATCCGTATCGTCCTCATAGTTTACGTGGGTTCGGAGGTGATCGGGTGTTCCCCTGAGGCTTTCAAAGGTTTCAGGAGGCTTCAGAAGTGTTAGGAGGATTGAGGGTGGGACGACGACGGGCGGCGGACGACAGAGCCGGCGGCGACGACGCCAGCGGGACGACGCTCACAAGAGAGGGTTCGCGACGGCGACCAGGCCCCCAGTGGCAGATGCAGACGTACCCCCGCGAGCTCGCGAGGGCGCCAGTGAGGACTCCCGCGAAGGCTTCGGGGCTCCGCCAGCGGCGCGCCTGCGGGCGCCGTGTCAGGCTCTTCGTCGACGTTGTCGCCGTCGTCGTCGCCGCCGTCGTCGAGAGACGAGGGTCGAAGGTCAAGGTTCGAGCACGATGTGGACCTTCTGAGCCTCCGAGGGCGCCCTTTTCGCCGCGGCTGGATCCGCAATCAAACTCAGATCAGACAGCGCCTTATGGGAGTTGGGATCGGGGCGGTCGTCGTCGTCGTCGTCGTCGCCGCCGCCGCCGCCGCTGCCGTCGCCGCAAACGGCATCCCTCTTTGCAAACCCCTGGCAGAGTTCCCTTCGTGCAGACATGTCGCGGACACCCACGTCCCCTGAGTTCTGAGTCCCTCTGGGGGGCGGCGGCGGCGGCCGGCTGAGCAGCGGAGGCTTCCCGCTGGGGCGAAGCGCCGGCGGATGCCGCCGCCGCTGGAACGGCGCTGGAGTCGCCGTCCGTGTCAAGCCCCGCCGTGCGCCACCTGCTGAGCCTGTAGCGCGACCGGCCGGCCCCGTGCTCGCCTCGCCTCAGTGGCCACCTGGTGCCCTCTTGAGACAACCATGGCGTCTCTTAGAAGCATGTTCTAAGCTATGTTGGGCTAAATTGTGCGATCTGCGAGCCCCTCTTGGGCTATCTGGGGACCTCTTGGGGCAATCTTGGGCCACCCGCGACCGAGCCCGTCCAGACCGAGGGAGAAGATCACCTTTCCCCGAAGGGATAGAGGAGGTTGGAAGAACTGACTTCTGAAACCACCTACGCCCAAAGGGATTGAGGGATGAGTAACCCTGGCGACGTACCCAAACCTTGCGCAACAAGTGGTCAGAACAGTTGGGAATAATGGTTAGGGATGAAAGCATGGCAAGAAGAGCCATGCTTCGTGAAAGCTACGTGGGAGGCTCGCGCACTGCGCGACTCAGAGGACACCGATAGAAGGACAAGGGTACGTATGACGGAGGCTCGCGCTGGGGCCCCCAAGTATCCCTCGAAAGTGGCGACGGTTGTGCAGATCGCAGCCCCAACAGGGATGGCGAGGTCTGATATGATGGCCCAGCCGGTGGTGTCCACAATGAACACCGCCGACTGGGCCATCAGCCCGAGGAGCCGCACCTGGACGGCCACGTTCTCGGCTGGCCCCGACGCTGCAAGCCTCTCCTATCCGCGCTTGCCGACCCCCTGGGAATCCGGATGGACGCTCCGACACGACGGCGTGGTCCCTCTATGGACCAGGTCTCCTGGGAGCCTGGAGGGGTTCGGGCCCGAATTGCCCCCCCCTGCGAAACGCATCATTTCATTCCTCCGCCCTCTCTCCGCTCGCGCTCCGCTCCCTCCTCCCTCCCCCCTGTCTCTCTCTCTCTCTCTCTCTCTATCTCTTTCTTTCTCTGTCTCTCTTTCTCTGTCTCTCTTTCTTTCTTCCGCGTCGTACGGCGGTGTCTTCCCTTCAGCGGGGCCCCCCTCCCACTCCAGGGCCCCGTTGGTGGTGATGGTTGGAGGGGGGGAGCAGGAAGAAAACACCATCAAAAAAGATATAGTTTTTTTGGGGGGGGAGAGGCCCAAGCACAACAGTCGACTACCATGGGTGCTCTCCGCGGGGCGGGGCCCAGAGGGAACCAGAGGGTGGCCCAGGGGGCACCAAAGGGGACCACGGGAGGAGGAGGAGGAGGAGGAGGAGGAGGAGGAGCAGGAGAAGGAGAAGGAGAAGGAGCAGGAAGAATCGGAGGGGGACGACGACGACTTACGAATGGCTCCAATTAGGGATTCCTCTACAGCTATTCCTGTTCTTGAATATTGATTCCGATTTTTTGTTAAAAAAGAAAAACTGAGAGGAATGATCTGAACTCACACGTGTAGTATCACATAACCAGCGCCATGTGGGGTCTCTGTCCTGATGGAAGATGCGTAGCATCTGCAAGTGTAGCTTGTATGCCCAGCGGCAACATGGAGACGCCGACGGAACACACGGCAGTCTGCATTTTGGCACGGCCTTGGACATCTTCACCGACACAGTACGTTATCCAACCTAGCCGTCACACGTGGGAGCGAGCTCCAGAACAGCACAAGGAGGGTATACTTCAAAGAAGCAGCGTCTCGAACGCCCTGATGGGCGGGACACTCTGTAACAAGATGACCGAAACTCGGGAAGGGGATCCCGCAATGGTTGCAAGGGAAACCTGTCCGACGTCGCGTCTAAGGCGTGACCGCACCGTTACGGTAGATGACCAGCAGACCGCGGTCTTCGTCTGTGAGCGATGCTACGTACTTAGTGAAGGACTGGTGGTAGGAGGCCTCGAGGTCGATCTCTTCGGCTTCCTCGGCGTCCCAGCGGGAGAAGTTGATGGACTGCAACCAGCGTACTCTGGTGACTTGACGGATAGCGTACTATGAATTTTTGGACCCTGGCCAGAATCTGCCTTGCACACCGATGGGGCAGTGCACTAACTTGTGGAAAAGATGATCCCCATGTGGAGCAACTTCTAGACAGACCTCCTGGGTGGAGAAGAACCTGATGCACTTGATACCCAAGGTCTTAGCATGCAAGGCATGGACGTGTCAATGAATTCCGACCGACTCAACAGTGGATCTTGGGCCTTCTTGAGGCCGAAGATCGTTGCTGAAAAGGTAGGGTGCCGTAGGACGGACTGGGCCCACCATCGGCCATAGCACCACCAGATGGAAGAGGTACGCCAGCAGGCACGTGCCAAGGACCGAGCAAAGGATATGGGAGGAGGCGACATGATGGGGCTAGCCCAAAGCCAAGCCGGACGCACGCTGGCAAAGCCCAGCTTGATGCGGACCCGCTGTTTTGATTCGAATTCAACGCGTCGGTAGCCGTTGGTACTCGGATCCAGCCATGGCGAGGAACGATGGGGATGGTGACGCCAGTCGGAGCCGCTAAGACTCCGAGGTGATCGATGAGGGTAAGAATAGGATCAAAATCGCTCCACTTTTGCCGTTAGGCGATATTCTTAACGTAACCGATGCTTCAGTCGAAGGCGGCGGTGGCGTCCAGATCTTCTTGTACAAGGGCAGGTGCTTGACTGACCAGGCTGCGGTCATCCGTGAAGCAGCGTCCTCGGCTATGCGGTTGCCGCGGCGTGAGCGTGGCGATGAGAGAGCAGGGCGCCGTGCTGTCGCCCCGGGAAGGCCGCGGTCGGGGTCGATGGGGCCCCCGAGCGAGCCCTGGATGGAGCAGTACCGCGGCCCCTGCCAGGCCGCAAAGCAGGTGAACAGCGCGATGTCGTGGAAGCCCGGCGCGTCGAGGGCCTCGAGTGCCAGCTCGCGCCCCACGTTGTCGAACTCCTTGTAGAGATCCATCTCGGCACAGTCCGTAGCTTCAGCGCAGTCCCGAAGCCAGACAGAGATGGCGCGCGGCACCGCGGTGCCCTGCAAGTCGGCCCACTGGTGGTCGGGGGGCGCAGGGGCGGCATGCGCGAGGGTGCGCTGCCAGATTCTCGGCAGCACGGACGCCACTGCGATGGGTCTGGCGTCGGATTCGCCCTTCAGGGCCCCTGCAATGCGCCAGCTGAAGCAGAGGGCGAGGAGGCGCTGCGATAGGCGTCCTCGAGAGGTGTCCAGCCACAGGTCGAACAGCTCTCTTACGATGACGGGGTTGAGTCTGGGCAAGGCGCGCAGCTCGCGATCGCTCCAGGCGTCTAGACCAGGACGACCCTTGCTTGGTTTTCTCGATCGCGGCAACGAAGCCCTCGAGGTCGGGCCCCCAGTCGGAGGGGGGGGGGGGGGAGCTGGGCTGCGGGAAGACCGCGTTGGCGGCGTGCTGTCTCCAGTTGTGGAGGTTCGTGTCGGACGCGTAGTTCTCGGGGCGCCACTGGGCGTGCCACCGCTTCCTCATGTCTTCGACCGCCATGGCTGCTGCTGGTTGGGAGCTCCGACAGACGGGGGTGGCCGTCGCCCAGACCGCGTTGGACCAGGAGGCGAAGCGCTGTCTCCAGGCCTTGGAGGCCTGCTTATGCTGCCTCTGCTGCCCCGCCGCGATGGCGCGGGAGATCCAGTCGAGGGCGTCGCCGCAGGTCGGGCGGCCCACGGCGTGGAGGGCGAGAACGTCGCCCGCGGCAGCTCGAGCGATCCGCTGGAAGCGCAGGACCGAGAGCGCCGTTGCGGGGGCGACCCCCTGCCGCATGGACTCAGTCAGGCGACGATGAAGGCGGGGTGGGCGGCGGAGGGCGATCGATTGATCTAGCCGCTGCTAAGGTGGGTGGGCCGTCGGACGATTCGTGGGCGGCGGCCCCTTGGACCGTTCAGGCTCGCGTTCGATGGACATGACCCCCTGCTCCGTGGCGACCATCAGCGCGCGCCCAGCACGCCCATGCCAGTAGGCCCAGCGACCAGCCAGGGAGACGTCGTCGTCGCCGAACTGTCGGAGCAGCGGGGGCCCCCCGTCTTGGTCGACTAACTCCTGGAGGACCTGCTTCTCGGCGCCTGAGCACGAGCGGAGCGTAACGTAGGAGGCCGCGCTGCAGGACGAGAACGGAACGTCGACCATGTAGGATACATGCCCATGGAGAGGGACACCAGGTAGTGGCGCAGCGGCCGCGTGGACGGGGGTTTTGCCCGAACCCCGGTGCAGGGCGCGGGTCGGAGTAGCCCCCATCGATGCAGTAGTTGGGTCGAGGCCAGGTAGGACTGCGCTGCGCGCCCAGTGGTTCGCGAGGGAGTTGTGCATCGGCCGCCAGTTGGGCCCCCCAACGACGTAGACAGGGTGGCCCATGTGGCCCAGGATCCGGAAGAAGCCGATGGCTTTAGCGCACCGGGCGCGGCTGGCCTCCACTGGGCCGTGGACCGAGAGGATTGCGGCCGAAGGCGTCTTGATGCCCACCAAGCTGCGGTGGGGGTCGTCGTGACGAGATGATGGTGGTCTTGCGAAGGTGGAGTTCCCAGAGGACCATGCAGCCTCCCTGGCGGCGAGCTGAGAATATCCCTTTGCGCTTCTGCTGTGGGGGAGGTGCCGAGGAGGCCAAACTCCAACCGCACTTGGCTGCTTGCTTGATGGCGCAGCTGGGCCGAAGCTCGCAGCTGCAGGTCTCCTGGAGGCAGGTGACGCCAGCGCCTGCAACGCCCAAGGACGTGGGGAGGGTGGCGAAGCGGGCCTTCGCGAGGGACGTAGCGCTGATGGTGAGATGCGTGGGGGCTCGGGCTCAGCGACGGACTAGATGTCCACGTCGGACGGCGCAGGTAGGTCGGCGGGGCGCCCATGTCGGGCATCCGCAGCGACGTTGAGCCTGGCGGCCCCAATGGCACGCCAGGACTGTGCGAACTTACGCCCGTGGCGACCGAACCCGGCAGCCCCAATGGCGCGCCAGGATTTTGCGAGATGACGCCAGTTGGGCCCGAACATGGACCCCGTAGTAGCTTGGATGAGGAAGCCCCCGATGCAGTCGAGGGAGTAGGACGTTTGGAACCCTTCGTAGTCGGCCCAGGCGTGGTCGTCGAAGGCAGCGGCGACGGGACACAGGCCGATGATGCAGCACGCCGGCGCTCAGGCTGACTTGGGGGGGGGGCGCTGTGAGGCAGGCAGTGTCCGAGCAGAAAGAGGTCTTGCACAGTCAGGTAATGGATTCGGCGCTGCGCACACAGGCATTAGAATTCGCCTCCTTGGGCGCGCGCTTGGGATCGGAGTCCCTGCCCTCTTGTGGGGTCTTCTGATGGTTAACGCCAGCGCTGGGAGGGTCGGGGATGGGCCTGCGAGAGTAGGGGGTCGAACGCAGGTCGGCCTCCGCCCCCTTTCGCCCGACCTTCACAGCGCGCGAGGTAGACCGCGACGAGGCGGTCCTCGGGGAGGTCGGGCCGCGCGATGATGCTGGCCCCGATGTAGGCGCGCCGCGGGGGCCGCTGACTACGCGGCCCTCGGTGCACCAGCGCAGGGAGGTGTAGAGGCTGACGTTGCGGCCGCTGACGACGATGTCCTCGACGTACCAGCGCACGGAGGTGCAGGGGCTTACGCTGCAGCCGCCGAAGGTGATGTCCTCGGCGCACCAGCGCAGGGAGTAGGCGTAGATGCCGGCGCTGTAGCCGCTGGCGACGATGTCCTCGGTGCACCAGCGCGGGGAGGTGCAGTGGCTGACGTTGCCGCCGCTGACGACGATGTCCTCGGTGGTCCAGCGCAGGGAGGTGCGGGGGCTGAAGCTACAGCCGGCGACGACGGTGTCCTCGGTGGTCCAGCGCAGGGAGGCGCAGGAGCTGAAGCTGAGGCCGCCGACGACGATGTCCGCGGCGGCCCAGCGCAGGGCGCGGGAGAGACTGCCGACGGCGCCGATAGAGGAGGAGGAGTCGGCGGCAGCTTCATCTTCTTGCGGGGCGGCCCCTGGGAGGACCAATGGGGCGCGGCGCCCAGGGGGCCTCCCCGGAGCGGGCCCCGTCAGTGCGAGGACGATGCGGCGGCAGGCCCCCTCGCGAGGTAGCGCCCCCGCCTGCGTTTATCGAGGGGGCTCTTCTTCGCGAGGGGCATGTTCAGGCAGTGCTGCTTGGCCCTCTGCTTGAAGGAGTCGGAGCTGAACGTGCCGGCGGCCTTCCTCCTTTCGTATTGTTTGCGCTCGTGGCGCTCGTGGAAGGACTTGCCATGCTCGGCGTCCTTGGGCTTGTTGTGCCAGCTCTTCCTGACCTTGCGGCTGACAGAGGCAATTTGGGCAGCGGCCGCTTCCTCACCGACGAGGCGAGCCATCGCGGCCTGCCAGGCGGGCGCCGCTTGCAAGGACGGGACTTGGCCTTGGAGAGGACGACCGCCCTCGCGCACTTGATGCAGGCGCAGCAGGTCTGGCGCACGTGCTTCAGTTGGACCGAGTGGGCGGCTCCTCGGTGGGCCTTGGTGTTGGGGGGCTCCTTGGGGAGGTCGCAGCCCTGGCATGATCGCCAATGGCGCCCCGCTTGCTCGCGAATGCCAACGGCGGTCGCGCCGTCGAGAGTAGGCTTCCATCCAGTGGGGGCGCTGATGAGGAGGCTGAGGTACACATGCAGTTCCGCCAACGGGTAGGTCGCCATCCATGCCATGGATGCTGCGAGCACCTCGGGCGGAAAGTGGACGCGCCTTGGCTTTGGCCTTTGAATCGGCTTTGAGGGAAGGCGTCGGTGGATCCCGTGGGCCCCTGGCCCTTCGGCTCGAGAGAGTCCTGGCTCTGGGCGCGGCAGTCGATGGCGGCGGCTGGATGCCCGGGAGGCTCCGCGCAGCACGGCTCGAGAGGGGTCTGGGCGAGGGTGCCGCGGGGAGGCTTCCCCCATTGAAATGATGCGGGCATGGTTGCGCCTGCTTCCTCCACTCCACTTCGACGCGAGTGGGGAGAGGCTCGATGCCCGATAGTAGCCGGTAGTGGCCGTCCACGAGGGCAAGCCAACACTTCGCCTTCGCCTTGATGTCTGATGGGGCCGCGAAGAAGTGTCACTGGCCGCCTTGCATCTTCCAAACCGAGAAGTCCGTGGAGAAGATCTTCGCAGCTGCTGCGATGGCCCGCGAGGTAGCCCAGGTACCAGATTTACCCTGAGCCTTGGCTGCCTGGGGGGGGCCTTCAGCTGTAGTAGTTCGGCCGCGAAAGCAGCGCGAAGGGTGGCTTAGAGTTCGCCCCCCAGGCCCAAGGTCGCTCTAGGCCAGGGGGCCCGTGGTTCGGCTTGCTGACGCGGCGGTGGTAGGTCGCGCAACAGTAGAAGCAATCGCCCGTGTCACCGCAGTCCTTCTGAGAGACGTAGTCTGAACACGGCGGAGGCATGGCCAATGGTCTCGAAGCTGTAGACGCGGCGCCCTTGCGACCACCCTTGGGAGAAGGAGCCTGTAAGTCGGCGTCGGCGTCCGACGCTGCTGGAGGCATCTTGGCGCCCCCACCCTTGCCCGTCTGCTCGACGGCCGCGGATGAGGGAGATGGGAGCGACGAGGAATGAGCGGGTCCAGGCGCGCCCCATGCCGTCGTCAGCGTTTTCTTTGGCGATGGACGCGACTGCCCCCGCCTCGGGGCAGCCAAGCTGGCCGTGATTCCCGATTTGAACTCGAGGACCTGTCCGCTCTCCAGAGTCTGCAGGCCGGCGTAGGTGCCAGCGTATCGTGACCCAACGTGCGATACTGCTGACGTTCTTGAATCCACGTGCCTCCGGCCACGACTTAACCCCCCCTCCTGGGACCAGGCGAGAGGAGTGCGCTGGAGGAGCCAGTGCAGCTGGATGTCCGCGGGGACGACTTTGGCTGCGATGAGGGGGCTGTTGTCACCCGGCCCGCGCACGAGTCTGCCTTCGGCCGCAGCTGCCACACTGTGGGCGCGCTTGAAGTAGTCCGAGCAACTCTCGTCATCACGGAGCCCGTACCAGACTGGGACGAGGGACGCGCTTTGCAGGTTGAGGAAGACCCCGTGGGGGAAGGGAGAACTTGAGCTGGTCATCTACGCGGGTAGACGACGCAATGAGGATGGCCGTGATCTCGCCGTCGTAGGCGACTGCCGCCTTCGTCTTGAGCACATGCTTGGCGAGGGTAGTGTTGAGTACCAGGGCAGAGGCAGCTGCAGGCTTCTCTTGAGCTTGGCTCCAGAGACAATCGTCAGCAAAATCGCGGGCAACCATGAGACGAAAGCCCGCAGGTTTGATGTCCTGGGAGGTGGAAGGTGGGGCGTCGTCCTTAACTCCAGTCGGCAAACCCTCCCTGGCTGGTGCTGCTGACCCCGCGGTGTGGACCAGGGCCTGGGTTTTGGTGGCGCCCCTGGGGATTCGATTGGAATCTCCTGCTGCACCCAACCAACCCAGAGGTCTTTGCAAGTGAACAGAATGTAGGTGACGGCATGAGCTACATAACCCCGAGCGGCAAACCATACTTGAACCTTCTCGTACTCATCAGGGTTTTGGCAGACGATGGTGGGCGGCTTCTTCTGATCAGAATCGCGCTCCTGGATGGAGGCAGCATAGAAGATAGTGTCAGAGCCCCACGGGCAAGTGAGGATCCTGTGTTTGGACGATGACTTAGGCGGGGAGTGCTGTCGGCGCTCTGCACCCGAAGACTTGCACTGCTGCTGATGGCCAAGCAAGGACTGGAGGGTGGCCACTACTGCATGTGACGGGGGCTGAGGCTGTGCGTCTGCCAGGACAATGAGACGCTTCAGCCGAACCAAGATGCGAGGGTCCTGTCTACGCTGCTGTGGTGCGGTCTTCGGTACGGTCTGCTTAGATGGAGGGGTATCGGGCATACCTGAATCAGCTGGGCCCCCGCGGATCTGATTAGCCAGGTCACGCACCACCGATTCCAATGCCAAGAGCTGGCCCTGCATCTTCGCAGGCCGGACACCCCGCCTCCGCTGCGAATACATGGCCTTCTTCGTTCCACCGCCGAGCAGTGGATCAGGATGAGAGAGAGAGTGTCGGCCGAGTTCTCAGCCGTAGAAGACATCATGATGCCCTTGTCCAGAGCCAGAAGCTTCTCGTCGATGCTGCCCTCGATGGGGTCGCTGTCGCTGCACTTCGCTGCGGCGGGGGCCATCCCATCAATACCAGCGTGGAGGTGTTCAGCATCATCGATCGAATACTGAGTCGGGCTTCCTTACCCTGGATGCTTGGCAATGCAAAGCAGGGCCTGGAGCAGAGCAGGGCCAGCCACAGCTTGGAGCACCGCTGTAAGTAGCAGGACCTGGGGCACAGCAGGGCGAGGCAGAGCAGAATGGAACAGTGGGTTCGTGGATTTGGAGCTGATGAACTGGCCAGGGAATCCGGATTTAGGAATCTCTAGCAGGGAATTCTTTTCTTAAGGGTTCCTTTACCAGGGTTCCTCATCCCACCGCCCGCTGCCCGCTCCCACCGCCCGCCACCCGCATCGTTCGCCCTGGCCGCGCTGCCCGCTTCCCCAACGCCACACCCACTACTCCATAGCCCCGTCCCCACCACGACACCAGGTATTCCATTCCGCCGCGGCGGGCGTCCGGCCTGATATGTGGGCCCCCTTAGGCCAAAATCTGTCCATGTCTACCGCCCGCTGGGGTCCCAGGACGTCGGTTTCCCAAGGGATACCACCGCCTCGCAAAGGCGCCCGCGCCGCAGCAAAGGCTGTTAAGTCAACGAAGCACTGTCAAATCAAGGGGGAATCGTTTTGGCAGCCCCCACCCAACTTTCGAAGCTTCGCTTTTCACCATGAGAGGAACGGCAACACCTTATATGATGACGCCCCCCTGTGTGTCCCCAGATGTTCGTCAGGAAAGGCAGCGCGCAGGCGCAGAAGCAGGAGGAGCAGGAGCAGAGGGCGCAGGGGGAGCAGGAGCAGGGGCAGGGGCAGCAGCAGCAGGCAAAGCCACCCGTCGGCGTTGGCGCAGCGCTCCCGCCATCGCAGGGCATACAGCTGCCGTGGCTAGGGGGCCACTGTTGCCCGCTCGCGCGCGATTGGGGCAGACGCTAGCTGTAACAGGCATGGTCCCCCAGTGGCCTCTCTTTCTCCCGCTGCTCCTTCGAGCCAGGCCGCCCGCTAGGGCCATTCTCGACGCGGGCTCTGCTCAAGGCGACGCCGATCATGGGTCCAGGCCAGCTGTCGCCAATTCGCGAGGATAATCCGCGAACTGACGATGGCCAAGATGGACGGTGACCACTGCCGACACCGGCAGTTGGCCCCAGCAACCTCGGGATTGGTACAGGCCTGCCTGTCGGGCTGGGGCGCCAGGGAGGCTACTTCTCCGAGCGCTCCCAGGCCTTCCGCCCCCCGGCCAGCGGACATCCCGCACGGCCAAGGCGGCGGTTGTCTTCCACAATCCTCGGGGGGCGCCAGGTGTCCCCAGATCTCCGACGACATGTTTCTTTTAATGTGGGTGTTTCCTCGATTGATTCTGGCGTAGACTTTCTACGTGTGAAGCCTCCGCCCTGCTTCCTCCTCCGCGGCCGCCCTCTTCTTTTGCCACCGTGCCACGGCGCGGCCCGACGGCTCACAGACCCGCTCGCGTCCGCCAGCGCTGCAGACCAAACAAACTGCTCCTGGATTCTGGGACCGCGCGCTGAGACAACGGTACGGGTTCAGGATGGGGCCGGGCAGGCATGGGTTCAGGTGCAACGTGACGGGGGGGGACAGGTCCAGGAGAGGACGCATCGACCTCCAATCCGCCACTCATCATGGACAGGGGCCCGATAACCCACCCCCCCCCGAGGAGCGTGCGGATTCACACTCGGGGGCCCATCGCCGATCTGTCGGCCATGTGTCGCCGATTCGGTCGATTCTCCCGCCCCCCCCTCCCCCGAGCCGGTCCCCCCCCCCCAACGTTCCCCCTCAGGCAGGGATCGGTGTTGCCGGTTGCCTCGCGACGCTGGGCACGTGGCACCAGCGTGGGCCAGTCTGTCTGGCGCGGATGTAGTCGGCGGGCTAGGCTCGACCTCGCGGATCGCGAGGCCAAAACGGTGGGGCATGAGAGGAAGCACGTTCTCCATTAATTTTCCATTTTCCCTCGTGCTTTTTGTGCCCCTTCTTCCGTATTCATCCCTCCCTCCCTTTTTGTTTTTCTCTCTCTCTCTCTCTCTCTTTGCATGTTGTTTCTGTATCTTCGTTGTTTTGTTTCTCTCTCTCTCTCTCTTTTCTCTCTCTCTCTCTCTCTTTCTCTCTTTCCCTCTGTCTCTCTCTCTCTCTCTCTCTCTCTTTATGACAACGTGCCGATGTAATCCGCCCCTACCGCTTTTTGGATGATTATGTGTCAAGCTGTGCATCTTCGTATAATGGTTGTTGTTCAGTTGCCTCCTTCGGTCCTTCAAAATGACGCTCTGTCTTTAGTGTTGGCCATAATTCAGATTCGGTGCAAGGTTACCGTCGTTCGGAAAGGTGTCATCGCCCCAGACAAGTTGCCCTGATCAGGGATGTGGAGGAGCATGCAATGGAATAGTGGGCTGGGGAAGCCGTCATATCCCAAGAGGTGGAGAATGGAGGAGGGATCGGAATCGGAGGGCGATGAGGAGGAGGGGAAGAGGAAAAGGGAGGAACAGGCGGGGGAGGAGGAGGAGGAGGAGGAGAAGGAGGAGGAGGCGAGCCGAATGGCCAGAGGCCTCTTGGATCCCTCTCGGAGTCTCTGGGGATGTTTCTTAAAAGCTTGTGTGGGTCCTCTTGGAGCGTATTGGCGGCCTCTTGGCGGTCCTGGGATCTTGGGTGCCTCGGGGGAGCCTCGTGGGGCCTCTTGGGGTCTCTTGGGAACCTGTTGGGAACCTCTTTCTTGGATGCCTCTTGGAGCCTCCTGGGTGGCGGGCATCGGGGGCCATATTGGGTCCATCTTGGAGGTGATCGATCAAAGAAGGGGCGGGTGTAAATTTTCCCACCCACTACTCAATAGCCCCCGTTTCCACCACAACACCCAGTACTCCTCGACCTCCGCTTCCAACGCGCAGCTCAGTATTTCCCAGCCTTCGTCTCCAGCACAACACCCAGTACTCCACGGCGCAAGCCCCATCATTCCACAGCTTCCGTTTCCAAGGCGGCCCGCCCGCCCGCCCCCAGCCCGCCGCTACTCTGGGGGGCTCACCGTTGCCCAGCGCTGGCGCGGAGCTTCCAGTATTCAACAGCTCCAACACAACAGCATCCCGCTGCAAGAGAGAACCCTTGGGAGTTCGATTGAAGTCCTGATCCGCCCGCTCGCCGCCGGCCCGTCGCCCGCCGCCCGCCGCCCGACCGCCGTGCTTACACCCCAAACTCAACAGCATCCACCTCCAACACATCACCCAAATGGTCTTGGCGCCAGTGCCGGCCTGGACTCATTGGAGCTGTCGACTCTCCCAGATCCTGTGGTGGCGGCCGTCGATTGCCGTGCTCTCGGTCAGCCAATTCCCTGCCGTTCTCGTGGGGCTTCTGGGCGAGGTCCGCCGCGAAGTCGGTCAAGACGTTGTTCTCCACCTCTCAGGCCTCATGCCCACTGGGCACCGCCAGCGCGCGCGTTCCCAAGTTATTTCAGGTCCCAGGCGGAGTAGGCGAGGCATGGGGAGCGATCTGCCACGCGTTAGCCTCGCCCGCGCCGGCGTCGAGCAGCAGTCGCTCACGCACCTGCACGTCGAGCGGATTCTGGCCGGGCTGGGACCCTGATTGCGCGAAGGGCTGACTGATGTATTCAGTGGACGGCGTCGCTACCAGACCGATTTCCTTCGTGGCAGCGGACCATCTCATCGCGCCAGCGAAGACCTTCCTTGCCCTGAGTCCCCAAGCGAAGGCCGGGCGGATCAGCGGCGCGGCCAAGTCCTTGAAGTCGCCCTGCTCTTCGGCTTGCCCCACTGACGCGTCGCCAGCGGCGACCTCGCTAGTAGGGCGATGCGCGACCTGTCGTTGAAGCGGCGGCGGTCGGCGCGGGATGACGGGCCCTGCAGTTTCTTCAGACCCGAGGCGCAGGGCCCGGCCTGTGGCGACCAGCTCCCGCAGGTCCTCCCCGTCCAAGGCCCATGTCTCGAGGATCTCGCCGATGGCGCGCCCCCTCCGTGCACCCTCCGGCGGTCGGGAGGGGGGCCCGCGCGTGACCATGGATCATCGCGCGGATATCTCCATTGCTCGCCAGGGGCGGGGGGAGGGAGTCCAGCCCGAGTTGACACCATCGGCTTACCCGCCGGACCCGAACCATCATCTCGGCGAAGCTCTCGACCGGATTCTGGGAGACGCGGCGAAAGTCCGTGCCGCGAAGGGCGCCGAGGAATCGCGGCAACGCATCCATGGCTCGGCCTCGCGCGGCGAGACGCGCGGGCGTGGGTCTCCGAGCTCGGCGACGGCGGAGGTGGCCTGATCCCGCGCGGCCCGTGGGATCGCCAGGGCGAACTCGCGCGCTGCCGCGCGCCTGGCTCTTGGCCCTCCCAAAGAGTAGCGGTGGCCAGGCGGGGCGCGAGGCGTTGTCGCCCCCGAACCCGACCCCGGCGATGAGCTCGGCGTCGGGCGGGGGGCGATGCTGACAATCACGGCAGTTCCACCGCTGGCCGTGGGCGGCGACGTGGCCCCTCCCATCTGCTTCGGCGCGCCCCGCTAGGCGGCGCTGCTCGACGGTCGCGCCAGGCCCCGCGGCCAGGCTGTCAGCCTCCGCCCCGAGCGCTTCCAGGGCGGAGGCGGCTTCCTCCGCGAGGGTCGGGCATCCGCCCCTCGCGGCTTCCATAAGCACCTCGTCAATGGCGAGATCCGCGCCGTCGGCCCTCGCTTGAGTCAGGCGGGCGAGGGCCCGCGAATGGAGATGATCACTGATGTCGGCGAGCCTCGCCATGGCCCCGCTCGCAAAGACGTCATCGATGAGACTTCGTCGCTTGACGGCCGCTGGGTGGCCGCTGCAGTCCATCCCGCGCACTCAGGAGCGGCCGGCGCGCGAGCCCCCCAGCCGGCTCGCGTCTGGGCCACGGACCGCCTCGCGCAACGCGCCCTCAATGTCGGGCCGCGCCAGTCCTTTCGGGCCCCCCATGGGCGGCCGCTCTGCCCTCCGACCGATTGGCGCGAGGGTCCTTCAGCGCGCTCGATCTCTTCTTCGGCCCGCGACTGGGCCCTGGGCTGCGCCGCGCGGCCGTCGACCGGGCCCGGCCCCGCCTCGGCGCCCGGCTCGACGCCGCCTGCCTTGATCAGCCGGGCCGGAGCCGCGCAGTCGACGCCGCTCATGCCCGCGATGGGCCCGCGCAATAAGTGAGCGCGCGCGTCGCAGCTGTCTTCGGGCGCCCACCCACGGTAGAGAACCTCCCCATTGTGATCCCAGGGCGCGCGTTCAATGGGTCGACCAATCTCGCCAGGCGTGCGTTTCTTGCCAGCGGAGTAGGCGCGCTTCATGCGGGCCGGACGCGGGTGCTTCGCACCGCCTGCTCGCTTTGGCCAGTCGGGCGCCTGCCTGGGCGGAGGCGGCGGAGGCCCGCAGGTGCCGGGGCCCCCTGGCCCCCCAGCTCTCCGCGGCGCCTCGGGCCCCGCCCCGTGCAAGCTCTGGCGCGAGAACTTCTGGGGCCCCCGATGCTGCTCGGGCACGAACACCGCCCGGCAGTCGCCGCCCACCGCCTCCAAGTCGAGCGCGCTCGGGAACTCGACGCAGGCGGCACCGCCAGAGGTGGCGAGAGCAAGCACGCACAGCTTCAGGTCCGCCTTCCTCGGGCTGGACATCCTTGCGAATGTGGAACAGCCCCCAGGGCTTCCCACGCAGCTGCTCAGCCCACGCCGCCGCCTACTCCTCCCAGAGACCGTGCGCGTAGGCGGCGGGGGGCGCGACGTCGTCGTCTTCGCGCGCGACGCGGAGGGTCTGCAGGGCCAGGAACTGTTCGCGCTCGTGCTCACGCCCGTAGATTAGCACGGAGACGCCGTTCCCAGCTTGCCCTGCCGACGCCGAGAAAGAAGACAACTGGATGCCTCGGGCGAGACTCCAGCTCCACGTCGGAAGCATCGCGCAGGCGTCGACACTGGTGAAAGCCGGCCACGGAGACGGACCGACTGGGCTGAGCGAGGTGGCCCTTGCCTCCCCCGTCCAAGGGACGTTGCCACGCGCGCGCGCGATCCATGTCAAAACGGTCGTCGGGAAGTTCACAGTGTTCGGCGCGCATGCGCGCGCGGCGCGGCCCGCTGGAGAGCCCCCAGCCAGGGGGGGGGTGCACCGCGCGCCCCCGCCGCGAGACGCCTGGCCCCCCAGACCGTTGGATCGAGGCCAGTGCCCCCTTCTGGGCCACCTTCTCGACGTCCCGCCGAAGCCCCTCGACAGCGTGGAGCATGCGCTCGTTGTCGAGTTTATGCTGCTGCTCCTGCCCAGCCTGGAGGACCGGCACGCGGGCCTCGGCGGGCTGGGGCTCGGCGCCGCGGGCGCCCCCTGCGAGCCTCCGATCACGCTGCCCAGGAGCGCGAATCAGGCTTGCGCGCCCGCGGGCCCTTCGGGCGACGAACAGCCTCGCGACGTCTGGCACCGCCCCGACGGGCAGCCCCACGACCTCCTCTCGGAGATGGCGGCGGGTGCCAGCTGCTGAGCCCAGCGGCAAAGATGCTCCAGAACAGTATCCGCTTCCTCGTCGAAGCTCGTGGCCACGGCCTGGACGGCGGCCGCGTCGTCGGAGCAGTTGGCGCGGGCGTCGAGGTGAACTTCCAGCGCGGCCTCGCCGGCGCCCTCTTTGCTGGGGGCGCCAGATTCAGAGGGCGCCTCGGCGAGGCTCCTTGCGCGACTCGGCCGGCCAGGGGGACGTTCCGCCGACGCCGAACGAGACCTCGCGCTGCCGGGGCGCCCCCGAGGCGGCTTTGGCGAGTTGCTGCGGCCCAGGCGCTCCCAGCGCCGTGCGAGGCTCTGGTCGGTGGCCTCCGACTCCGCGTCCTGCGCGGGCTGCGCATCTGAGGCGGCGCCTTCCGGGTGCCACTGGGCCAGCTAGCTCCCGGGCCAGCTGGCTCCCGGGGCTTGGGGCAGCTCCCACCGGCGCTGCGTGAGTGGTCACGCCTTCCCGCCG